AAAAAATAAAAGGATAAAGGACTTGGGTCTGATTTTCGATTCGAAATTAACTTTTGTGGAGCATGTGGACCATATTGTGTCTAAAGCTTTTTCAATGATTGGGTTTATTCGTAGGAACTCTGAAGATTTCTCTGATTGGATATCACTAGGCAAAGCTGCATCCCAATCAATTCCTTTAAGCCACAGCTGCTGCATTAAAAGTTTCATTGACACAACGACTGGTAACAACCATCTTAGTGGATCGAACACCTTTGAAATATCTGATAATACTGTGCGTTTTTTAACTTGCGCTTGTAATTCGCTTAAGGTGATGCTATATTTAATGGAGTCACAAGTCGTATCCCATAACAAACCTAACGTTTTTACTGTCTGAGTGTCATCGATAATTGTTTCTGCTGACGTCTCCCGATCAATTGAATCGATGGTAGAAAGAAATTCTGGTGAGTTCGAGCACCACTTACGCAAACGAAACCCTGCTTGCGTTAGTAGTTTACAAACATCAGTTTTTAAGTTAATAGCAGCACCTATTTCTTCTGCACAAAACATGAAGTCGTCTACATAAAAACAATTTATTATTGCCTTGCTTGCTTCTAGGAAACGTGAATTTTCAGTTCCTATTTGTTTCAGGGTTCTTGTTGCTAAAAATGGTGCACAAGCCGTACCGTATGTGACTGTTTTCAAGTCATATGTTTGTACATAGAATCCGCTGATAGCATCTGTCTTCTTTATGAACCAAAATTTGTCTATAAATTTTTTCTATATCACTTGTAAACCCAATTTTAAACTTGCGAAACTGAACCAATAAAGAAAATAAATCTTTGTGCACCGTAGCTCCTTTCATTAGTTGATCATTAAGTGATTTCCCATTTGATGACTTGCAAGACGCGTCAAAAACTACTCTGAGCCTTGTAGTTGTACTATTTGGTTTAAACACGGCGTGGTGAGGAAGATAATACTCGATTTGTGTATTTCTATCTGCTACTAGTTCCATATGATTCATCGTGATATACTCACGTACATCGGCGTAGCCAGAATGAAATTTAGGGGGGGGGAGGGCGTTGGGGTCTACCCTATTAAGCTGGCATTTTAGGGTACTATTTTATATATACATAAGGAAAATATAAAAGTTAGGGGGGGCTCGAGCACCCCCCTGCCCCTACCTGACTACGCCCATGCTCATGTATAAATTGTTTGTAATCAATTTCTAACATTTCATTTTTCTGAAACCTCTTTTCCATTAGATGTAATCGCTTCATTGCTGCTAACTTTGAGTTTCCAATCTCGGAAATTACTTCTTTAAAGGGCAATCTAACTATATAACTATCTACCATTGCTTGCACGGTTAACAGACCTAATGTAATGTTGTTCCGCTTGTTGTTCCTCAGTTGTTAATAATTGACTCGTTTGTTGAATTTCTTCGACCCCCCAAAATTTTTGTAATTGAACATTTGGATCAAGTGCTGCCGTACCAACAAAAATATGACATGATTGACTGTAATCTATTTTTCCAAGTATTATCCACCCGCATATTGTTTCGACTGCTGAAGGTGAACCACTTGGATGAACTAACTTATTGGACAAAACGCATTCTGCGAAAACATCTGCACCTAATATTATGTCTATACCATTTGGTGTGTCGTAATTTTTATCGGCTAAATGGAGATGGAGAAAATAGTTTAACTTCTCACTACGTACTTTCTTTCCTGGTAAATCCTGCGTTAAATCTGAGAGACAAAATGCACTTGTTGTAATAGCGTGCTTTAAACTGGATGAAAATATCTTCAGTTTTACTTCACCCCTACAACCACTATTAACACCTTTACCAACACCATGAATTATTGTATTATTGAAACTTCTTTTATAAGCGACAACTGTGCTCCTGAATCAATTAATGCCCAGCATGTTTGATACTGGCCATTGTTATCTAATACCTTAACTACTGCAGTGGGCGATAACGTAATATATTCATTTTGTACATTCGATAAATTTATTCACACTTGTGACGAACTCCGGGTTATGCTGGGGTATGCTCATCGGCTGCCGGGTTCTCAACAAAAAGAATAAGAGTTCGTTTTTCGGTTTATAGCAAAGCACTCGTCTGTCTTGGTCGTACGTTAAGAGGACGGGAGTAGAACCTACCCGTTCCTCTCTGATTGGTGGGCGTAACTCCGTCCTACCAAATATAATTACGGCTATAGTAAAGGAGCGGGAGTAGAACCTACCCACAACCTTCCAAGAGAGGGAGTAGAACCTGCCCGCCTCTAAATACCTAGCTAAGTTATATAGGAGTGGGAGTAGAACCTGCCCGTCTCCTGATACCTAACATAGGGAGTAGAACCTACCGTATGTGTGCAAAAGCTCCTGACTCTGCAGCAGTCGCCTGACGACTCCTGTCTGCTTTGATTGCTGGCCGGCTATTTATACAAATTGCCGGCCGCAGTCGCGTCGCGTATGTCCCGTTGTCCTTTGCGCTTTGTTCTTTATTGCCATCGTGCTTAAAATGTAGGTACAGTTGTATTTATGTATATGATTCTATGAATTATAACGGTAGTTCAAATCGCTTAATGCTGTAAAATATGTGGCTACAATTCAAAGTATGTATTTTCAATTCAAAGTATTAAATTACATATATATTTTATGCACAATTCAAAATTATGTGTATATGTACATGAGTGTTGTGGGGGCTCCAAGCCCTAGGATTGGGGTCCTCACACACTGAATCTACTTGTCTTTGTGGAAAACTGTTTTCATTGGGGTTGCCTTGTGTTGGATGCAATAATGAATTGTGCTTTTTGTTGCATACCTTACATAAGGACGACGTGCAACTAAATGCTCGATGGTATATTAAATAATTTTTTGAACACACCGGACATTGCTTTATTTGTGAGGTATATACTTTTGATTGCGATTGTTGACGATTGTTTTGTGAGTTAAAAGGTTTCACATAATTCCTATTTAAATTGTTTGCTTGTATATTTTCTAGTTCAAAAATGCGTATCTCTAAAAATGACATTAACTGAGTAAATGTACCTTCTTTTTCTGCGCTCCTACTCCTATACCAAAGGGTTGATGTCTCAGAGTCAAGTTTTTTCTCAAATAAATACAGCAGCAGTGCATCCCATTGATCCACCGCCTCACCCAGAGCCTTTGATGCATTAATACTCTCGTTTGAGTTATTATACAGACGTTTGATCTCACCCAATGTTGGTGCTTTAATTGCTTGCTGATCAAGTAACAAACCTACATACGCCTTCTTCACCTTATCGCTTTCATTGTATTTTTTGTAAACCAATTCCCATGCTACTTTGTAATTTTCATTTGTTGGCTTTAAGTGTTTAACTAACGATAACGATTCACCTCAGTCAGCAAATACTCAAATTTTTCTATGTCTGCTAAACTCGATTTAGTATGAATCATAACCTCAAACAGATCACGAAAGTGTATCCAATTTATGTAGGCTCCATCAAATTCTGGAATCTGTATACGAGGCAACCGGATTTCTTGTTGCCTTGAATTTGGATGTTGGGCCATTGGGACAGCATTTGTATCATTGCATGGTGACGCCAATCGCTCAACCAAAACACCCAACGTACTCTGATGTTCCACTAACGCCTGCACTGCACTGGACACACTCGCAATCTGCTCATTTTGGTTCTGATTTTCAACTACTGTGTTTTCAAATTGATCTTCACGAATTCGAGACGCTAAAATTGCCTTAATTGAAAAATATTTGTCTTCCATATCACTGCGATAGTTTTCCTCCACAACCCTGTTCTCTGAACTTGTAAGAGTGTCTATATTGCTCTATATATGTTCATATTCATGAAATAATGACTCTAACTTTTCTACTCTGACTTTTATCTCGTCAAGAGTATTATTTACATTTTGACAATAAGATGAAATACGCGTGATAGACCCTTTTATGGTAATTGGGTGGTTCACAAGGTGTCGTACTTGTCGTATTGTTGTATGTTGTAAAGTTTTTAACGGCTAAATAAATGTTTAGAGGACTTGAAATCACCACCAACTATTTTTTAATTGTCTGAAATTTCATAATAAAACTTTTATGTTAGCTTGCGAACTGGGGTGCTCTGCTGAAAACAATAGACATATGTACTTATACACCATTCGATTGACTTTGTATGCGACTGTACATACACACATTTGTACACTTTTTGTTGCTTACACTGTCTTTTCAGTTTTAATTTGAATTTAACATTACTGCTTCTTACACCAGTACATCAATGTTGCGATGTGCGATTCCAATATGAATACTGTATTGTTGCTGGGGTGCTCTGTATGCCATACACGATTAGCTTCGCATAAACTTGTACGTAAACTTGTACAATTTTTATGTATTACATTTTCATTTTAATTTGTCATTTTACACATCACTGCCAGTGTTGCCGTGTCGTCTCAAGAAAATGTATCCCTGACCAAGCCAAAAATGTATCCAGATGTATCCAATTTTTATATTTTTTTCATTTACATCTCATAATTTGTTTGCAAAGTAAATATAATAAATAGCAAGTACACTCTAAAAAGAGCATGTAAAACTACTACTGAAAAGTATCTATTTTTCAACAAGAATCTGTATAAATATACGTATAAGATGTTCAGTATTTGATTTTGAACTTGAGATCTTTAAAATATACACATAAATACACATATATAGAATGTTTAAAATTGCAAACATTTTCAAACTGCAAATACATTTGAGTAGTCTACTTGCAAAGTGCGCTATGTAAGATCAA